GGGGTCGAAACAGTTGGATTCCATGAGAGGGAGGCCATTGGCCTCTCGGTATTTCACAAGCCTTTCAGCTTCCCGGCGGGCCCACTCCTGCATCCTAAAGGCAGAAGCAGCAAGGGAACTTCACTGAGGGAACTTCACTGGACACTAATCCCCCACATTAGCTCCCCATTTCCCAAAGTTACAGGGACAAAATTCCTGGCAGTCCCCTTCAACCTCCACCCCATATCTACACCTATGCATCTCACTCTCTCGGACACCCCACGCACCCATAGTCAGGCAGATAGGCCACGAAGGTGCCACCAAGGACCAAGACAATGGAGAAGCCAAAGAAGAAGGCAACCCGCATGTTCCAGACATCTACAACAGGGTCCTTGTCAAAACCGTGGGAGTCCGGGTTCTGTGGAGAAAGAGAGGTCAGTGAGGGCTTCCTGCTGCTTCACAAAGCCTTATGTAGGCCTTGCATAACCTGATCTTCAATTTCCCCTCCCTCACTAAACTCCTCTTTCTATTCTTTTTTTTTTGAGACAGAGCCTCAAGCTGCCCACATGGGTACAGTGCCATGGCATCACAGCTCATAGCAACTTCCAACTCCTGGGCTCAAGCGAGTCACCCCACTAGACAGAGGCCAACTGGGAGAAGACTAAAGTGCTAGGCAGGTGAGTCAAGAAGCCATCTTGGACATCCAGCCCCAGCCAGCATGTAACTGCCACTACCTGAGACCCCAAGAAGAGCTACCTCACTTAGTCCAATCACCGCATAGGACCATGAGAGATAATAATGAATTGTGGCTTTAAGCCATTAAGTTTAGGGTGTTTGTTACATAGCAACAGACAACCAGAACATGTAAGAAAAGCTGTAGTAGCCCTTTAAAGACTTCTGACACCCCCACCCCCATGGCTCCTTCACAACAAAATCAATACTAGCCAGTTAGACTTTCAGTCCCTTTAATTAGGTGTTCTGAGGAGAAGACAGAATGACAGGCAGGGGTGGGGAAGGTGGTACTTCTTGAGTCCCCCTCAGCAACTGGTCAGTTCTCATCCTCTGGCAGCTGAATCTTGCTGGGGTCGAAACAGTTGGATTCCATGAGAGGGAGGCCATTGGCCTCTCGGTATTTCACAAGCCTTTCAGCTTC